TCAGGGACAGAAGGGAGAGAAAAAGCTATTCCATGTGAAATACCTTTTTAAATGACACAGGTTGGGGGGAGGGCATTCTGAACAATAATATATATATTAAGAATTGGCACGGTTCTCATGAATTTGAGATAATACGTACTATTCCTGTATGCTTTGCAGGGCATTATTTGGCAGTGCTCTAACTGTAGAAATATGAATGGCTACATACATAGTTTTTATTTTTCCAGCGTGAAACTGAGCATTATGTGTGAGCTTGCCACAAATTCATGTAAAGACAGCACTATGTGATTTAAGCCTGTAAATAAATTTAATGAAAATATAGGAGGAAGTCTTACTGGCTTTCTTTTTCCCTAGTGGTTTACTGTATCTGAAAATACAGTCCCCTCTCCTGTCCCACTGGGAGTTTTTTTTTTGTAAACAAGTTTAAATATGTACTATTTTTGTACACTAATATTTTCTGTAAAATTGATTATTTCTCATTTTATACACATTACAGTAGTGCTTGGATGCTTACAAATGTAATTAAGAGCCCAGTGGCCCACTTGCACAAATAGTAAGGAGTAATAAATCCTTAAAGACCTCATGCTTAAAAAAAATCCCTCAAAACATGGACAAAAGGGGAGAAGAACGTGATGAGATGATTTAGCCAAGGCCATGCAGCAGGTTCATGGCAGAATTTGAAGGGAAAACTGGTTCTCCCAGGCTGCAGACCAGGTGCTGAGCCTTGGTAGAGCGCACTGCTTCCCACTTGTCATTCCATGTTCTCATCCTGGAGTGACCCCTCTGGTGTTTTCTTGTTCCTATACAAGAAAACTAGTTCATAATGTAGCTCTGTATCACTGTTTCCTAACTTCCAGAAGGCAGATTAAGATGAGGCGGATTTATATTACTGCTGGACCCTGTATGGTGGGAGTACAGCTCCTTAAGATCAACTGAAGGTGTATTAAGGTCATTTTATAAATTGCCGAAGTATATAGGACACACAGAGGATATCTAAGGCTTTCTTATGATCATTTTCATAGTGGAGCAAATCTATTTTACAACGTCTTACAGACCCAATTAAAGTTCTTTCACTTAAATCAGTGATAAATTTCTTATTTAACTTAACTAGGTGGAACTTGGATCCTTATCACTAATAAAAAGCTTTATGAGGTAGCCTACATCTATTTTGTAGGTAAGAGAAACAGTGGAAAAAATAGGGACTAAAATACTTGGATTGATGAATAAAGGAAAAATACGTCCTTAAAGCTGAACATTGAACTGATTATTTTCCATTGTTAAAGACAAATGGATTTGCTAATTTCCTGATACATATGAGTAGATCTCTAAACACTGTCTAAATGTTTTCATATAGGGTATGGTACATTTGATTAACAAAAATACATTAAATCCATCAATGTTTTTGTTATGGTTTGTGTAAAGTTCTTTGTTAAAAGCATTAATTTGAGATTATTACTTATGGGAGAAAACCATTTTATAGTAGGATATGCTTCACAGCTTTTATGTTGGGAGGAAAAATAATTTGTCTAGAGTAGTTATGCTAGTTGGAAATAGGAGGTTGTGTTATGTTGGGTATGCACAATCTGTTGAGTGTGCTTTACATCTCAGTTACTCAGTTACTAGTATGATTTTTTGAGTTGAGAGCGCGGTACAATAGCTGTTTGGAAAGAAATCCAGTTTTAAGACTGTTCCGATCTTTTACTTTGTAAGTTAGCTTGAAGTTTGTGTCTTCCTACGCCCACTTCACCATGTGTAAAATGGGAAGAATATTTTAGCCCATAACCTACTGTAACGTTATTCATTTGTATTATTTGAACACCTCAGCCCTCTGAAAAGGGGCCTAGATGTTCAATGTTGTAACTTTCAAATGCTTTCCTTTCTAACAAAAATGTTAACAATGTATCTTAAAATATGCTGTTTTCTTTTGCTGTCTGTTTTTAATCTAGTATCACTATAGTCAGTATTTCAAAGAAAACAATTGACCAGACCTACTGCTTCGTTGTCCTTAAATTTTGGACAGTTTAGTTTTCTACACTAAAGCACTCCATGTAACATGGAAGATCGCAAAAAAAGATTATTGAAAGAATGGCATACAGTGCAAAATGTACAAAACTTCTACATAGTTTTTACTGAGGGCAGTCATTTGTAATTGTTATGTTTTATTATACTGCATTCATCCAATTTTATTAAAAATTGCCAATTAAGATACAGTTGTCATGGTCCTTGGTCTTGCAAAGATGGCATTCATTACCTTGCGAGCTTCAGGAAGGTAAAAGTCCCCCACTTTCTTCAGTCTCTTTATCAAAGCTCTGCAGATGTCCCAGAAAACAAGACTCCGAGGACTGGATGTACCAGTTCAAATGTTTCTCCTCCCTCCCCTCAAAACTATTTTTGATCTTAAATTAAGTTTTGGAAGAGGTGAAGTCATACTTTATTTTCTAATGAAAAGCAGATGACTGACAGAAGAAAGAAAAAAGCTGAAGATAGAGAAAGGAATGAATGAACAAAACACTGTGGAAGACTTGAAATAACTGCAATTTAAGCCACTGGGGAATGCGTACATCAAGTATTCAGTGCGAAATACTTGCACTGTCAAGACCTATAATGAAAGCTTAGTTTTAAAGAGGACCTTTTCAGGTTGTGCTTCTCCTTTGTTTACAGAACTTTTATGCTGCTTCTGGTGTTTTATAGAGAGAGTTTAAAAAAAAAAAAAAGCCCAACAGCTGAGAGGTGTTTGAGAAAGATCTCTGGAATACTTTGGGCAATACACATTAACGTCTACTTCAAAAAATCTGGCAAGAAGATACTACTGAGGGCAGGCAAAATCTGCCACTGAACACACTGTTTTTATTCTTCTGTGGGTGGGCTGATATTTATTTTTGGCAGTTTAACTGAGCCGTTATCACGATTCATACATCTGTTTGTTTGCATCCGTGCTGTTAATTATTGTGTGACACTAAAGTTTGTGTAGTTACTCACTGTTTATAGAGTTTAGGCTTTATAGTAAACATTATGTGGTGAACTTCTGAGAAATGTCTTCCACTCAGAGAAAAAATGCTCAAAATGCTTGTATTCTGTGTGTGTGTGTGTGTGTTTCATTGTGGTATGATTTAAGACAATTAATAATAAGCATTATGTTATGTTTATTATTTATGGTGTTGAACATTTGCCCTGAAAGCTGCATGGGAAGGATCAAATCTTACTTCCCCTAAAATAACATTCAGTCGTTTGTTTTCTGAGAACTTCTTTATGATTCTCTTGAATTTGCTTTGGCAATATTTTCATTTTCTAACAGTCGTCTTTCTGACAGTTTCTCTCCTTGTTTTAACTGTGAAAACTCTCACAGCAACGTTGTCTCTTCCACAAAGCAAATGTGGATAGCTTATTTGGCACCGGCTTTGTCTAGCTCCAGATGCTAATTGAGTATGTGTCGTCAAATCGCCTCACAGATGTCCAAAGTCTCCACAGCAGGATGTTTCCTTGGTTCACAGGTGTCGCTCAATCACTGACCTGTCTCTCTAGTCATTAAACTTTAATAGGTCTTGCAGGCTTGGATAACAAACAGAAGTAAATTTGGCTCAGTGTCTGTGAAACTGTAAGAGACAGTTTCTGCTGTAAAATAACATTGGGGCCTTCCTAACTTCTCTACCAATCCTATTACACATAGAAAGCATGATAGAAAATAAGATAAAATTCACCAGGATCTATATAATCCCTTCCAGACTGCAGTGTGAGGGTTTACATTTGTTTGTTTGTTTATTTTAATCTCCCTCATGCTTCCCCACATTTCATACTGAAATCTCCCTTGCGCCGCATCATAAACGCGTGTTGTAGTAGACAATCTACGCCCGTGCAGTAAGTTTGGAGGGCCAGTGGTCTCTGGCGATGTAGGTGGGAAGTATGTGAAGGGTGGTTTTACCAGGCATTTGCAGGTGATATTCTGAGTCGTTCTGGTGGCCTCGGCTCCCTTCTCACGTAGCCATTTGCCTCTCTTCTCGCATGCCAGCCCACACTAAATGGACTCGCCACGAGTCCATCCAGGTGAATTCTAAAGCATCAGAGAGGGTAGAAACAATATGTGGTGCTCAGCAAAACGTAGGTAGCAGCTTTCTTAGTGCTCAGGTTGCTGAATGTCGAAATTGGGTTGGAAGAGCAATTTACCATCAGCCTGCAAAGCTGTCAGTCTCGGGAACTGTCAAGCCATGTTCTTTTCTGCTTCTCTTAGGTGCCTCTTCCTTAGGTGAGATGGGATTTAGAAACATAAAAGGAAAATGAAAGGGGTTCCTGAAATAGATTGCATTACGTATGTTCAGAATCCATTTGAAAAATGACACAGTGATGCTGGATATATTAACATCACAATTTTTCCTACCAAGAGTGTTTCAGAGCCATAAATATTATGCAGCAGTTGGCATACTTTCCTCACTGAGGTCTTGGCACTGCAAATTCGTGAGTATCTTGTTACAGCCCAGTGCACAGATATCTCTGAACAGTAGAAAGGGATGCTTTTCTTCTAATTAGGTCTTCAAATAGGAACACGAATGCCGTTTGAAGAAGCTTGCCGTCAAAATAACTAAAACCCCTTGGATATGCAGAAGAAAATCCTCTCCTATAAAGCTGCTTTTTGGCTGACTAGAATTGGTATTTCGGGCTTACGAATGATTTGAAACATGATTTTGAAACCCTCTCCCTTAGCTGTGCTCTGCCGGTGTTGTTTCACGGTCTGTGTGCATAACTAACATTTCCAGTGTAAGCAGCAGGTTTGCTGGTGGGGTCACTGCCTCTGGCATTCGTTGCCTTTGAAGAGCTCGCCAAGCCTTGCCTTGGACAGCTTTGAGTAGTGCAATCATTGTTTGCTTATTCCTGTTTTTGCTTGTGTCGTCATGTGCTTATTTTCAGTTGTAGGATCCCTTGTTGTCAGCGCAGCTGATAACATAGCTAAGCTATATGCTTTGCCTATTGGATAACTTGTTTGTATTTAAATCATTAAAAGTGTCTAGATGGCAGGATCTGTAAGTGCTCATATGTGGGCTTTCAGTAAGGAATTAGGCAGTGTTTGAGAATGTATTTTTCTGAGCAGAGTTTGGTTGCCAGAACTATGTTAATCTTTCTGTTTGAGGTACTATTATTTTTTTCTAGCAAATAAAGTCTAGCTATGTGGTAGATGAACAAACTTGTAATTAATAATGCTACTTTTTATTACTCTTGAAATAACACTATTTCAGCAAGCTCCTGTTTTTTATAGTATTGATACTCTTTTATGTTGATTTCAGGCTGAGGAATCCTGTAAATGCAATGGCTGGAAAAACCCCAATCCACCTCCTACCCCTCCTCGGGCAGACCTGCAGCAGGCAGTTGTTAGCCTTACCGAGCCGTGTCGCAGCTGTAGTCATGCGCTAGGTAAGCTTTTTGCTTTCTCCTGAAATCCAGGTGTTCATACTGTTGCAAGGTAAAATTCAAGATGACATGTCAGTACCTAGAATGATGTTATGATTGGACATTTAATGTTCAATGTCCGATCAATGTTCCAGTGTTAATTTGGATTAACATACGTTGGGAATACCCTAAGGTGATTTTCAAAGAAATTGAACTGAGGCACAACTTCTAAAAATCCATGTACTAACTTCCAAAAATCCATACATCTTAAGTTGTTAAAATGCCAATGCATTGCTAAGCTACCCATAACAATTTTAATCTTTCATGTAGCATTTATTAACCTTGTATTTTTTCATCTGCCAGGTGCTTTATTCATGACACAAGTGACTATAGTGGATGTAAGCTGTATTCCATTTTCCTGCAGTAGAACAAACTGTAAAATATTCTTGGACATTCTTAAAGCAAGTGCTCTTACCTACAGAAAAAAACATACATTTTCTGCATTAGAGGAAATGACACTGGAGTTGCGCATCTTAGGATTATCTAAGCTATTGTGCTGACAACTTGCATAACTTGGAAGCAACTGCTCAAAATCCACTGTTAACTACTGGTTTTCTTTTTTTCTAGGTAGACTAAAACAAGGATTTGTAACTTGGCATAGCCTGAGAAAGAATAATGCATCATTCTCACTGGTTAAAAAAATGCAGTTATCTAGACAAAAAGCTGATGACTCTTTGTGCCTGCATTAGCAAATATTTAATAAAAGTGAAACTATGATAGAATTCAAAACTTCTTGAAAAGAAGTAGTTGCTTTTTAATTGTTGTTGATATGTCCCAGAATTGAGAACAGTGAAATAAGAAGAAGGAAGTGTAAGACCCTCAGAATGGACTATTTATGTATTTGTTTTTGCAAATAATACTCTAAGTTGTGTGGAATTATTCAGTCGATTTTCTGAGCATAGGATTTATTTATATTCTTGCTCCATTCTCTTTGTATGCCCTCATTACATTTAATGTATTTATGGACTTTTCAGCAGTTTGCTTTCCTTTATTTATATCCAAGGTCTATGGTTTTGCTTGCAGAAGATTAACAAAAGCATAGTTTCACAGAGACTTCAGTGACTTTAGCCAATTTACTTTATTCAGCTTTTTATCATGCACTTTCTCTGAGCTGCCTTTGGTTATGCAGTTACGCAGTTAAAGTAGCTTGTGTTATCCCTCCCTTTCATTCCTGGCATTTGAAGACAGAGTGTTTTTTTTGGGGGGGGGGAGGGGCAGGAGGAAGTATCTTGCAGGGGTATTAATTCCATAGTATAGTAAATTGTTCAAATGCGACCACCCAGAAGTCAAGGTAACTTTCAGTATTTTTATGGAAAAAGGTTGGAAATGGCTTCTTAGGCTGATGCTTTCTCCATTTGGTAGTATGAGTCCAAGGCTTCTTTACCATGTTATCTAATGCAATGCTCATCTAGGAGGAATTCATTACTTTAACAAGATCAGAACTGACAGCTGGGATTATTAAACTTTCATGTTTTGTTCAAGGACTGAAATGAAATCATTTTATTCTGCCTAGAATGCTGCATACTTGTAATTAAAGAAAGCCTATGCTGACCATCTTACTTGTAGATGGAATTGTTCAGAGCTTAAGAGAATACATCATAAATGCTCATTTAAGTGGAAATGAATGCAGGTACCTTTTTAGTGTTCTGCGCCACTGAAGGAAGCTGTCCTTTTTAGTTGAAGCTGCATAAATTTGTGTAATTTAAATGGTTTGACAGATGTCATACCAAACTTTCCAAAACAAGCATCTTTGCTGAGCAGCCAACAAATATGATCATTTTCAAGTCAGATTTTGTTTCTCCCCACTTATTTTCCCCTTAACGAATCAGATTTATGATTAAAATATCTTAACCAGTCCTAACCACACCATCGTATTTAGGATAATATGATAATTATCCAGTAAGTAAATACTGTTAAAGGATGTAAAAACAAATATGCTCAATCTTTTCAAATATGCTCAATCTTTTCAAATATGCTCAATCTTTTCAAATATGCTCAATCTTTTCAATTGTTTTCCTTTGGTTTTAAAAGATATTTTCTTGACATTTCAGAGCAAAAGATGCGCATACCACTTACATTGTCTTGGAATCAGCTAAAATTAGTACTTATTGTAATGCAAATGTCTGGTTCCAGGAATTGATTTTTGTTTTAAATTTTCTTCTCTCTTCCTGGGGCCAGTTGTTCAAACCAGCTTTAGATGAATGTCCCACTTTAAACCTCCAACCTCAAAAAATCGCCTATGTGGAACTATATTTGCTTTTGGAGGTGATAGAAGAAGCTTGTTACTTGCAAATTATGACATCTTGAAAGATGCTTTTTTGCAAACTTCTGAATAAATGGACATGTACAGCCTGCAAAAGCTTTGTCCATATAATGTGCGCAAAGTATCGTTTGAACTTACATGATATGAAAGTATTTGAAACTTGCTCATTGATGTCTAGTTTAAAACAGAAAGCTGGTTTGGTGAGCTGATAGGTTTTTTTTTTTCCCCCTTTTTCACAGCACAAGGTACTACTTGTATCAGCAGGTGGATTATATAACTGATAAAGTTTCTTGATTAAATCCCCATCTCCAAAGCACAGTTCTTCTTGGACAAACCTCTCTATAAGTAGTTACTTATATCACAATGTATTAATACAAACAGGTGGGACTGGAGAGCCCTTTAGGTGTGGATACGCACTGTGATTCCAGTCAGTTGTCTTCCCTCTGCTGTGGGAATTACCATCCGTGGACTATCTTTATAAACTGCTCAGATGTGACATATTTAAGGAGCCTCTGATAAGAAGTTCTATTTAAATAGGGCAATTACAGGATCCATACCCTTTCCATTATGACTCAGTTTCAAATATCTCAGGGAATAGGTAGGCTTTTGGTTCTCTCAGGCTTTTAACAGTTTTTTTAGTTTCTTTGGTTTTGTTTTTGTTTAGCTGCTCATGTTTCTCATCTGGAGAATGTGTCTGAAGAAGAAATGAATAGGCTCCTGGGAATCGTGCTGGATGTGGAGTATCTGTTCACGTGTGTCCACAAAGAAGAAGACGCAGACACTAAGCAAGTTTATTTCTACCTGTTCAAAGTAAGCTGAACTTGCATGGGATCTTTTTTTTTTTTTTTCTCCTTTTTCACACCTAATTTCACTGTTCACTGGCCCCTTATGCATGTATTGACTTTATTTTGCGAGAGTTTTTCTTCTCTCTGGTGTAAAGGTATAATGGCTCACCGTGAGCCAGACTTTGTGGTGCTTGCAGTATTCAGTCTCTTACGCCAGAAGTCATCCTGACGGTGTCAGAAGCTGACCTTAAGTCCTATCTATAAACTCTGTATGCTTCCATCTCCCAGCCTTACCTTCTTCACTTACAAATCAAGAAAAGTCAGTAGATATAAATGCTAGCATAGCTGCCTGCACGTGTTCAGAGCAGCCTTTTATATCCATTTCAAGGGATATATGAAGCAATACACAGTGAGGTACCTATAACTTTAGATGACTAAGCCAACAGACACAGAGCAGATTTTCAGTACTGCTTGTAAAGTGTTGCACAACTGACTTCCATTGACCTTACGAATGTAATACGCTAATCTTCTAAAAATGTATATATTCTTAACAGCTTTTGAGGAAGTGCATTTTACAGATGGGGAAACCTGTAGTAGAAGGATCTTTGGAAAGTCCCCCATTTGAGAAACCTAGCATTGAAGAGGTAAAAAATGAATATATGTGGTGTTTTTGTTTGTTTGGTTTTTTTTTTAATGTTGTCCTTTCTGTAGCCGTTGGTTTTGAAAATATGGCATTTCAGGCAGTTTGCAAATGTTACACTATATTACTTAGGACAAAGATTGAATCTGAAAGAGACTTCTGTTCCCTTTTAATATTGATATAATAGTTACATTATTTGATTTCTCTCATCATTCATCTTATGCATTAATTGGCATTTTTTTGTGGTTTTAAATAATGAAACTGAAAATGCTACTTTTGTGCTTGGCAGCTCTAATCTTTCTCTGTCCCAAAAGATGAAAAACGTTGTTGAGACTTTGAAGTTCAATATTAAAATAACTTTTGTCTTCAGTGAAGTCGATGAAAATGTTACAATCCAATTTAGTGAGATTATAGTCTCCTCTTTCAAAGTGTACACAGCAAAAAACAGCTAAAACAAAGAATAACTGAGGCTTTTATGAACCTCTCAGCAGATAAAGAACATATGAGATTCAGATTTTGATTTACCAAGTGCCAAAGAATGCACTTCTGGCATGCCAGTAGACTCATTAATTCCAGTGAGACTATGTAGAAGCTTAAATACCTCACTGAGTTAGGAACTGCATGTTTTCCTGTTGGTGGACGGGATATTTTAAATGTGAGGACTCTGTTATATGTAGGAAGTGCTTCCTTCCAACGATCAGTTTTTATAACATAGCAAAAGAGAGTTTTGATTTTACTGAATTTTTACAAAGACTTCACCTTTTGTTCTCCTTTGGTTTGAGTAGAAACAAACAATCAGGGCATGTAATATTATACACCCCAAAGCCTTAAAATATACTACTAAAAAGGTTTTGTACTAAAACACACACACATATACGTGTACGTATATGTGTGTATATAGTCTATATATTTTCCACATTCTTCCTACTGATCAGTTTGCCTAAGAAGGTAAAGCATTAAGATTAAAGGGTAACTCTTTTTACAGTTTATTTTGAAAAAAGTTTTCCCTTACGGTAGACCGATATTTTTCAACCACTTGTTTTTAGCAGTTCAGCAAACTCGTTCACACAGAACTGTTTGCTAAGCAGCAGTCTTACATGTGTCTTGTAAGATGTATGTATTGCAGCAGGTTACTGTAGTTGCACGTTTTACCTATCCTTAATAGTACTTTTAAAGTGGGCGGTATACCAAGTGCAATGAAATGACATACTTGTGCAATACTGCTGTTTCTTGAAGAAATAATACACTCAGGGACTTTCTACTAAAGTCTTTGGCTACAAAGTCTGAATCTACTGTTAAAAAAAATAGCTAGAGAGGTTTTTAAGTGATGAGGAAGTAGAGAAAAGTACGTTTACAGAGGAAATGAATAAATCGTGCAGCATGGTTATCAGCAAAATTGTGCGTAAGGGAGCATATGGAAAAAAAACCCCTCTCAATCTGTCTTTCCCATCAAAATTTTTCTGCTTTGAAAAGCAAGAGAAAATAACTTTGTCTCTCCCTCTAAGTTGACTGCTGGAGTAGAAAAAAAATATTTGAATGCTCCTGATGCTCTGTACAGGAGGATTGGCTTGATGCAGTTACACATGTAACAGAGCAAGGAGTTCAATCTCCAGTGTTTGTTTTCTTTCCTGTGCAATACAATTCAGGGTTAATAACTGAATAATGTGCGAGGACACACCTACTAAAAATATGGTTAAATATTTAAACATCATTTTCTTTTTCTGTTTCAAGGGTGTGAATAATTTTGTGCAGTACAAATTTAGCCATTTACCCTCAAAGGAAAGGCAAACAATAGTTGAACTGGCTAAAATGTTTCTGAACCGCATTAACTACTGGCACCTGGAGACTCCTTCTCAGCGAAGACTGAGATCACCCAACGATGATATTGCGGAGTATAAAGTGAATTATACCAGGTAATGGTGCTTTTGCTTGTTACAAGTCTTGCTTACAGCTACAACATATATGCATTTCAGGAATACACCAGTACCTGTGGATCGTAGTTGAGCCATGGGTGTTCTTGTAGTCACTGGCCGTCAGAGTTTCACACATGTTTTTGTGTTTTGAGAGGTGTGCTTTATCAGCCAAGAACATAGATATAGTTCACAGCCCTCTAACTCCAACAACTCTGTAGTAACTCTTGTGTTTGCAAAATTGCTTTCCGTCTGATTAAGATATGTGCCTCATAAGCTCCTTATTTCATATACTACAATTCAGGAGGGCTGTTATCCGACTTAAAATAAAAAAAAAAACGAAATATCAACAAAAAGCATCACAGATTGAAACCGAATCACAGAAGGCTTGAAAAATGAAAATGATTTCGTAAGTGTTTGAGTGATAAATAGCTAAAAGATATTAATAGGCTCCTTAAAATGATTTAATTTATTTGACCTTTTAATACTTTATTCAGAATTCAAAGGAATAACTTTGACACTGAGGGAAGAAGAGCTAATATAAAAAGCTAGATCTTTTAAAATTTTGCTCTTTTAATAAAAATAGCACAATATCTTTTTCAGTTAATTTAGAGACAATAGTTAATGGTTTTATAAGCAAATCTGTTCCAAGGACTGATGAGAAATATTTTTTCTGATTGACAATGAGTATGGTCTTCTATCCATTTTCTGGTGACCTTTCATCTGAAAAACCTAAGCTCCGTAGACTGTATTGGTAGAAGCTGGTTTGAGACTGTGTTTGGTAGCAGTAGACTGTGCTTTTGGCTTCCTATGAGATCAAAAAATTCAGTGGCACTGGGAGGCAAGGCACTGGTCTGTATATGTTCACTCTGCTGGTTCACATCATTACAAAAAATTGGTGGAGGTTAACTGTTTACTGGTGCACCCTGACCTGCCATAAAGCCTGTCTGTGCAGCATTAACCCATCAAGATTTGTCTGTGCGTTGCAATGTGAAACTGTCATGAACACCATGGCATGATGTTCTGGGTAATTTGACAAAAATGTGGTAGTTTGCCCAGATGGTCCAGATCCCGTTTGTACTGCTGGGAGATGTGGCCATACACGGAGCTGTCACTTCACATAACTACCTGGCACAAAGGAGAGTTACTGATAATCTAATGGGGCTCTTAAAATTGTGTTTAGTGTGCTTTTGTCCTCCATTTGTTTGTGATAAAGATGTCAGATAGCCAGAATCGGTAGGGGTCAACTTTTATTAAAAGTCAGTAGTTCACACTGGGCTCTGGTTGGTGACTTCTATTGCCAATTATTTTGTTAACTGCAGTTTCTCAAACCTTCCTGCTCACAGTCCGTAAAGCTCCTGTAGTGCTGCCTCTTTCCATCTAATTCTAATTTCAGTATGAGCTTCGCCCTTTCTCCAAACTCACTCCCCACTGTATTGCTAGAGGCATTGCTATGGGTGCAGAGGAAGCAGCTCTGCAGAAAGTAATAATTTGAGAGAAACTGCTGTGGATCTGGGTGAGAAAAACACAGTGCAGAATCCAGCATAATCTGTTCACACCCAGATATCCAGTTCTTGGCTCTCTCTCTCTCTCTCTCTCTCTCTCCTTTTTTTTTTCCTTCCCATTCCCCTCTCTCATGGATGGAGTTTTGGTAATGGTTGTAATCTGATTTTGTTAAAGCTAGGGATATCATTGGCTGTGTTCACTTATGTATAGATATTAAAATCATGATTGTAGAATTAATAAATATAGTGACCCAACATAGTCAAAGTACTACAGATTAACCTTTTCAGTACCATGACCCCTTTCTAAGAACAGTAACAGGAATTTATATATATAGAAAAGATAAAACACACACATACTTATTAATGCAAAACTTGCTATGGAGGGAGTTACTAGTAAATGAAAGCATATCAGGTTGAGATATAAAGGGAAGAAGCCAGCTGGTGGGAGACCAGGCTGGAAGACCAGTCAGATTGGGGTGGAACTAATTAGAAATGTTGTCCCTTTTACATATAGCCGGGGAAATGTGGGAGTTTAAAGAGCAGAAAACAAGGCACAGAGCAGGCTAAGGGTGAAGTCTTTGGAGCCACTGGCAGCAGACACAGGAGGCCAAACGACTGAGTTGTAGGGAAAATCCTTGACATCAACACACATTTTGTGTGATATATGATTACTGTCTGGTGCAAGAGCACTTTGTAGAAACCAGAGTGCAGAGAAAAAGAATATATGGAGACTTAAGATGACTTGACTGTCATTTCTCTAAAAAGCTGGACAATATAAATGCTGCTTATCTCTATGCAAACCTGATATAGAACTGGTTTATACAGTCATTTATCCATCACTTGCATTATAAATGATGGAGGTAGTGGTTCCATTGCGTCAGCTTATTAATACGTATTTTAGATGATGATACTTATCTGTCTTTTCTCCCTCTTACAGGTGGCTTTGTTACTGCAACGTCCCTCAGTTCTGTGACAGTCTACCTCGGTATGAAACCACGCAGGTTTTTGGTAGGACGTTGCTTCGCTCTGTTTTTACCGTAATGAGACGGCAACTACTGGAGCAGGCTAGGCAAGAGAAAGACAAACTTCCTCAAGAGAAACGAACGCTAATCCTTACCCATTTTCCGAAGTAAGGGGTCACAACTCGGCTGCATTCGTGGTTAACTGGTAGTATGCAACTTTCACATGAAAATGAAAAAAATGTGATTAGTTCTCCTACCTACAGCTTACAATCATTTATTCAGCGACAAATAAATATTGCAGCTTTTTTCTGTCATAGCTTGAACTAGTGCATTTTATGTATGCCACTGCTTGTTATATATGTAATGAATACATGTTGGCTGCTTGGCTTTGCCCTAGGGCTTTACTTTATAAGTAAGATTATTTGTCCTGCCTGGGGGATTGTGCTCATTGCCAATTAGAATTTATTGCTGGTCACTTATATTCTTTTCAGTACTCCTTGGAAGCAACACAGGTCCAGATCTCCAAAAACATATGTTTTGCTGTTCCATCGTAAAAGCGGAACGAAGCATAATTTGAGACTTGTACTACAGTTTATTTACAGTTAAGAATTTCATTTCCATTCAGCCCTGTAATAGGGAACAAAGTAGTTCCTCCGCCAGCCCACAGAAGGGATCTGTGCATTTAACAAAGAACAGAGCAGTCAATATAAAGCTGCATCTATGAGCCCTAAACTAATGAAATTAATAGTGGCAGCTTGTTTCAGTAGTGGCACGTTGACAGAATCTCTCTCAATTAAACAGCAATATTCACATCTTGAGGTATACAAGAGAATGGGTTGTCTCAGAAAGTCCTCTGCTTTTGCAGTCCTTAATGTCAAACATTGTACTGGCAGTTAAAGGAGGTGCTGACGACTAGATTGTTCACGGTATGTTTTCTGTTAAAAGAGCCTATCTCTTCAAAAATATCCTTATTTTGTGATGGTGGCTTGGCTCTCCAGTCCCTGTGTTAAAAGTTTGCCCTCTCTTACAACAAGGGAACCGAGTCTACAAGCAAGATGGTGACACTGGTTCTATGCAAATTGCTGCCTGGTGGCTTAGTGCTAATGGGAATGAAAAACAATATCAACTTGCCAAAGTTGGGTAGAGCCAGGTTTTGCTGTTCCTTACTCTTACTAATAACGCCTTTTACCACTTCAGAGAGAGTGGACTTTGTGTGGAGCAGTGTTTGGGTATATCTGGGTGTAGGATCATGATCTTGCCCTAAAATACCTGTAAAAAGGATATAATGCTGCGCTGATGCGAGGAGCAGATTTGTGGAGGACAGGCCCCCTGTTTCCTCTGCATAGTATGACCCTGAGAAGTGATTTGAAAAGAATAATTCACTGCAGTTCCTGCTAATGTTCTGAGGGGCGGGAAAAAAGAAAGAAAAGCATCATTTGCCAATTTGTGTGGGAGATAGGAACAGCGTCTTAAATGTGTTAAGGGCTGTGCTTCCCTGGTGTGTTTGCATCTCTGTCTCCGGGCATTGGGATGAGCTACCACGGACGAGTTGCCGCTGCACGGGGTACCGAGTGCTTTTCGGAGCAGCCCCACTAGCCCTTCTCCAGCAGGGTGGGTTTCCCCACGTCGGTCCCCAACGTGGATTTCCCAGCCTGTGGGCGGCTGTGGTTCAGAAGCGGTCTTTTAGGGACTCATGACACGGCTGTGAGTGTGCAGTCAGCAGTACAGGTGACTAATACCCCTCTTAACTGAGCCAGATATTAGACCATCAAGAGAAAGGAGAAGTGCTAACTGAGGAGGCTTTTCAGGGTCTCAGTTTTCCGAGCCCCTTTGGCACAGCGATGCTGATGCAAGCGCGTGTACGTGGTGTCTGGCCGTGCCTGGGAAAGCAGTCGTCAAGGGGTCAGGCTGCAGCGTCTCTGCTGCTTGCCAAGGCAGCCTTGCTAAGGTTTAACTTGCGCCTCTGCTTTGTCAGTGGTGGTCCAGGAGCTGTTGTAAACTTTTAAGC